CCCAAGAGAGAAGGAAAAACTATGAGCCTGGATTACAGGTATCACCCAGCAACTGACTCTTTCAACCATACTGCTCCATTCTGGAATAGTTCCTAAAGAAAGGTTAAAAGGAGAACTCCACCCACTGGATAGTGCATCTTGTAGTCCACACTGTCAAGAAAGGGAAACAGAGTGAGCTTCAAACCAGTTCTTGAAAGCAGAGTAATCATGTGGCTAGACTTCCAGTCAGGTCCTCAAAAGAAAAAGGTATGAAGAATAATTTAAGGTAGAGATATGTGGATGAACCTGTTAGAATTGACCGAGTATGAAAATATTTCTGTCCCATGTGAAGGCTAACCAAAAAGTCTAGCTGTGGAGACTTCTATAATCATGTGGAATCACGTACATACTCTACTCCTTAAAAGTCAGTCAACATCTTTCCTAGCAGCCTCAAGGCCTAATCAATGACCTCACAAGAAACAGCCATAGTAATAAAAGAGAGGTTCAACAAATTGTACCAACTTGTACTTCTCAACAAAACTGACTTATTTGCATTGCCAAAGTGCCATCTTTCTCTAGATTATGATGTGAGAGGGAAGAAATAATCCTAAAAATATTAATAGTTTACAGTGGTTCTTAAATATTTTGGGTTCACAAACCCTTTATATTCTTAAAAACTGAGGATCTCAAAAAATTTCTACTTATACAGCATTACAGCTATATTTACTATATTAGATATTAAAATGAAGAACCTTTAAAATGTATATTTATTGGTCTTAGAGAACATTTTATGAATTTGACCCCAAAGGCAACCAACCGAATGGGAAATGATATCTGTAAACAGCTCCAACAAAGGGTTAATATCCAAAATATATAAAAAACTCAAACAACTCAACACCAAACAATCCAATTTAAAAAATGGGGAGAGGACCTGAACAAAACCCTTTCCTAAGGCATACAAATGGCCAAAAAATATATGAAAAGATGTTCAACTTCACTAGCTATTAAGGAAATACCAATCAAAACTACAATGAGATACCACCTCCCACCTGTTAGAATGGCTGTTATCAACAAGACAGGTAATAACAAGTGTTGGAGAGGTGGTGGAGAAAATGAACCCTCATTCACTGTTGGTGGGAATATAAACTGGTATAGCCACTACGGAAAACATGCAGCATGGCAATTCCTCAAAAAATTAAGAATTGAGTTACCGTATGACCCAGCAATCCCTCTTCTAGCTATCTACCCAAAAAACTCGAAAACATTTGTTTGCAAAGATATATGCACCCTTTGTTCACTACAGCATTATTCACAGTCGCCAAAACATGGAGACTGAAGTGTCCTTCAATAAAAGACTGGATAAAGAAACAGTACATGTACCCAATGGAATACTACTCAGCCATAAGAAAGGGTGAAATACTGCCATTTGCAAAAACATGGAAGGACACTGAGAATATTATGCTAAGTGAAATAAGTCAGTGACAAAAAGCTAAAAACTATGTAATTTCACTCAAACGTAAGATATAAAACTGAAACTCATAGACAGACACAGACAATAGTATGGTGGTTACCAAAGGAAAGGGGGTGGGGGAGTAGGGAGTAGTAAAGGGTAAAAGGAGCCAAATATATAGTGATGGAAGATGATTTGACTTTGGGTGGTGGGAACACAGTGCAACGTACAGACCACGTATCATAGAAATGTACACTTGAAAACTATCTTCTTAACCAATATCACCCCAGTAAGTTCAGTTTAAAAAATGTGGATTAGCATGCAGAACTTCATTATGGAATGCTCTTAGGTTCAACATGGGAAGGGGAAGGGGAAGGGGAAGTAAAGGGGCAAGGGGAAAGGGGAGGGGGAGGGGAAAAAAAAGTATGTTTACTATTTCCTTTAAAAATAATAAACCAGCCCTAGCTGGTTTGGCTCAGTGGTTAGAGCATCGGCCCATAGACTAAAGGGTCCGGCCAAGGGCATGTACCTCAGTTGCAGGCTTAATCCCCAGCCCCATTTGGGGCGCCTGGAGGAGGCAACTAATAGATGTCTCCCTCTCACATTGATGTTTCTCTTTCTCTCTCTCTCTCCCCCCTCCCCCTTCCACCTCTCAATGGAAAAAATATCCTTGGGCAAGGATTAAAAATAATAATAAACCAGTTACATGTAAACACAAATAAAATTTTAAAATAAAAAAAATTTAAGTCTTTTATATTTTTACGAATCTCTTTAAAATCTGCCTTAATAGAGGACATGAGATTACCATATCTGTTTCTGCATCAATATGCTGTTTCGGTTGAAATATAAGAAAACCCAAACTCACACAGACAATGTACAGGCATACCTTGGAAATATTACAGTTTCATTTCCAGACCACGGCAATAAAGTATATATCACAATAAAGCGAATCATAATCTTTTTGCTGGTGGAGGATCTTGCCTTCACTTTGTAAAAATGCAACATCTGGGAAGCTCAGCAAAGCAAAGCGCAATAAAATAAGGTATGCCTAGAGTTGAAGAGGAAGAGATATATCACAGCTTTTTCAAATAGCTATGAATATTATTCTTTGATTCTGTATCAAAACTCAACAAATGACAGTGTCTTAAAGGTTCACTGAAGAGTGGAATCTTAAACCCAATCAATTAACTTTTTTTAACGTTTTTATTGATTTTTAGAGAGAGAGGAAGGGAGAATGGTAAAGAGACAGGAACACTGATGAGAAAGAAACACTGATCGGCTGCCTCCTGCACACTCCCGACTGGGGATGGAGCCTGCAACCCGGAATGAAACCAGTGGCCTCTTGGTTCATGGGACAATACCCAAACCCTGAGCCATGCCAGCTGGGCCAATCAATTAACTTTTCATACTCTTACATCAAAATCCATTGGTCTGGCAATATGAATGGATCTTTTACCCACGCATAATCATTCACTAATCAATCCTAAGTACTGGTCCACTGAGTTAGGCAGATCTCCGTTTTCCCTAAGATACCACCTACTCCAGAAGTGCAGAAGTGCTTCACCAACACTTCCTTTGCATCACAAAGGCTTTTATAAAGATGCATTCTCAGAATCAAGTTTTTAAATTAATAGCTTCTACTGCTTCACCAAAGATATTGCTAAGTAAAAAATTTTTTGTTTGCTGTAAATATGTCTTGATGAGCACAATTTGAAGAAACAGCTGGATTTTTCCTAAGGCACCAGCAGTTTTCCCCCACCATCACTTTTGAACCACAGTGGGAGGTCAACACAGAAAAGGGCACTTAGTATTATCATTAAAATAGTTTTATCCCTGAAAGGGTCTGAGGTTCAATAAACAGTGCTTTGAGAACTGTTTTACCGGAACAAAAATGTATCTCTCTTTTTTTTCCGTATGTTGGCTTTGGGTTGGCTACAGGTATCTCCTTCATTCTGAGATCCTGGCAAAAGAAACACCTTTCTCTGCCACCTGTTTTCTTGTGGCAGAGGTAAATGAGCAAAAATCAATTCATGCACTGGCTCCTAAAGCTTCTGTTTAGACATGATGTGTGTAACTTCTCTCCCACTGACGAAAGCAAGTCCCACAGCCAAGCCTAATGTCAATGGGAAGAAGGAAGTACTCCTCCTAGGGGCAGAGACCTGTAGAAAAAAGCCCAGTAAAGAAGGGAAACAAATATTTTTTAATAAGACAATCCACCATAAGCAGCAATTCTCTGTACCTCTCACCTCCACACCAAACAGTGAACAAACAGCCACCTGGTAGCAAACTGGTAACATTCAGAATCTTTCTATAAGGAACTTATCCCCATGAAATAGACACTTGGCTTTGGTAAACAACCTTGTTCTGGCTACCTTGGAAACAAGTCCACTATTTATAACCTTGTTTTGAAGGAAGAATATGCTTTAGGTTCTAAATAAGCAATCTGCATACCAACTTAGAACATAAACTTTTCATAAATTTTAGTTTTTAGGTAAGAGCTTGTTATAGTTGTTTGAAGTTTAAGTACAAAATTAGGTGTAAATGTTAATAGGAAAAAGTTAAGTGTCTGCTATTGCAGACATTCACCATATTCATCATGACCAAAAGTTTGAGCAGACTTTAATTTGTGGGTATTCCTACATTTTATGATATACCACTTAATGCATTAATGTAATTTCTAATTTAAAAATCAGAACTTGCCCGGCCGGGCATGGCTCAGCGGTTGAGCATCGACCTAGGATCCAGAAGATCGGGGTTTGATTCCTGGTCAGGGCACATGCCCGGGTTGTGGGCTAGGCAGCCGATCAATGACTCTCTCATCATTGATGTTTCTCTCCCCC